GTAGCAGCACCAAACCTCAGGGCTCATCCTCCACTGAAAATGGCTGCATGGGCTAATCAAAGAAAACATCTTAGATGTGAATATAGAAACACCTAATCTCTTCCATTAGAATTTACAACAATAGTTTTTATTGCACCTCTTATATTTACATGCTTATATATATTTTTTTTTAAGAAGCATGCTCCATTACTGCTTGCTTGGAACTCCAAGTCAAGCTAGCTTTGCTTTGTCACTCTCAAACAGCCACAGTTCATCAGCAATAGGAAGGATTACCAGAAGTTTCTTTTACAGTCACAGAAATTAATTAGCATTCTTTTCATCATCTTTTCATGTTTTCAGAAAGTTCTTTTCAAGTTTTTCAAGTCTTTCTAAAGTCAAGCTGAAAGATCCAATCTAGACTATCTGTACTCTTTGAAGAAATTCTGTTTTTCTTATCACATGATTCAAAAATTTCTGCCTGAAACTGATGTTCTGAGGCTATTCATACCCAGTGTTTTAACTGTTGATTCTCCTAAAAGCCGATAACCTTAGGTGTATATTAAACATAATAAATAGGCTTCTATAAAGGATGTCAGGAAAATATGGTCTCATCGTGCAGTGATTCCAAATAACAATGAAGGTAAAATACTGCACAACAAAGCAATACTGCACATCTGCACTCTCTGCAGAGCAAGAAACAGCTAGTAGCTCTGCAGATACACTGAAACCAGAAGGCTCTACAGCCAAGCACTTTTGAACCTACTTCTATAGGTCAGACAGACACCAGAAGATCAAAAGAGGAGGAAGACAATACAACTCTTAAAACAATTGGAGCTTTGACAGAAACAAAAATCCGTAAACTTAGAACTCTTTCCTTTCCATTCAAGATTACCCACAAAGAAAAAGTGATAGGCTATGCAAAAAATCAAAAAACATGCTTGTTACACTGATTTAAAATAGACTCTAAGCCAGTAATTCTGTCAATAATAACAGTCTCATAGCAATAATGGCACTACACAGCATCAGTAAGACTATCTAAAAGCTGTGTGGTCAACTCTATAATGTACTTGGGCAACACCTAACACAATGAAGCATGTGTTCTCAATTAAGGTCAGTAGTCATTATTAGAAAACCTCACGCTTAATATATGAACTCTACCAAAAATTAGATAAGTTTTTAACTTCCAAATCTGCTTTCATCACTTACAGCAAAAAAAAAACCAACAAAAAAAACCCAACCCACTCCAAATCTGTGTGTTTATAATTCTGTGCTCACAACTTCCTTTAACATTTACGTAGAAAGTATTTCATCTCCTAAAACACAGCTGCACAACTGGTCCATAGAGGAAGAGGATGACATTTATTTTGCAGAAGGCTTTCAAGTAACTTGTCATTTGTCTCTAACACTGAGGCAACTGATGAAGAGGTCTCCATCACAGAACTTTAATGATGACTAAGATAAATCTCCAGCTCATACTCACAATGACAACATGTCAGGAGATGCCAAAGTGAGTACAATAGTCTTCCAGCCTGCGGCAATAAAGACACATTTCTGCTTTGAAATGATTTTCAGATTTCTCTATACGCCCAGGAAGGAATAAGATACCTTCTTCTACAGTTTTTATTTTAGTCAGAGAGCTGGATTGCTGGCAAACACAGCATAGAGCAGGTATTACCATTCTAGAGAATGTAGTTGCAACATATTCATAGCTGTAAACACTTATTCATCTTTAATTAACCTAAGGGAGAGAGAATGGAGTGAAACCAGAGGAATTAAATACTATTTACACACAATACTGAAGGGTTCAGAAAAAAAAGGGTTGGATTGTTTCTTTGTCTTTTGGGAGGACTGCAATTTCTACCTAGAACTCAAGAAAGAAATAATATTAAAACACCCTCTGCGTGTTCAATTTATATAAGAAAGAAAAAGGATTAATATGTTAGCATGAACTGTAAATGGAGGACTCCATAAATGAAATGGACTGAAGATGGCAAAAGCTGAAACTTTAACATTAGATATTCCTATAACAAGCATGCTTTTTAAATCAGCATCATAAAAAAAGTCACAGCAAATCTTGAGCTTAGTGTGCAAACATTCTATATTAACGAAGTTCCAGGATAACATTAAGCGTTTTGCAACAAACATCCCCTCATTGGGCATAACTTAGATTTTCAACACCTGAAAGCCTGAAAGGTTGCTAATCCTGAAATGAAAGAATTACTAAAACATTTGATCAGTAGGGAAGAGAAGCCAACAGGCTTGCAACTTTCTTCTAATGTTAGGAGACATCCAGCAATGACACCGAAACCTGACTCATTAAACCAATTAAAACAGAGATTCTAACAAACAAGTAACCTGAAAACTACAATGCTGTCTATTTAAAGAGAGCTAATTACATAACACTGTGACTATCACCCACAAGACAACTTTGTTTGGGTAGGAATGCAAAAACTGAATCCATCTGGAGTGAGATGAGTACAGTGAGGCCATGTAACACAGCTCTGGTTATACAATAACATGGCCCTTCCAATCGTAAGAATCCCCAAATGCTAAGTTCTAATTTAAAGTACAGCAATACACTCTAAAAACTACTCTTTACATGACTCATGTGCTCTCTGGAATTTATGCCGATCACAAAGAGAATGCTTGTTTAAGTTTAGGCATCTGTTTCATCAGTGCTCACTGCCTCAGAAGCATAGTCAAGAGTTATTGCAGTTTCCATGGAGACTAAAGCAGAAGAGTTCTTACTATTTCTGTCTGTGAAAATCCCATCACATTCCAGCTGCCAAGCTTTTTATGAGAGCATGAAGGACAAAAAGTGGCACTAGTATCCACATTCCTGTCTATCACATGCCAGTAGTTATTTTAGAAGCATATTTACCTTTGCACACGAGAAGGAAATCTTATTCTTCCATGTGCCTGATTAAGGGGATGCAAATTGTTTAACAACTTACAACCAGATTTCCAACATATTATTTCAAGTCCTTATATTCTTATTTTTTTTTTACAAGAGAGCCCTGACTTCATATATCCAACGCACTTGCAATTCACAAGGAGGCTCTTGCCACTGTAAAATCCTAACAGAAAAAGTGATGCAGTGCAGATCAGATAAGTGGATAGAGAGGTGGACTGAAAACTGGCCCAGCTGCTCAACACGCAGGGTTCTGAGCAGCAGCACAAACTCCACCTGGAGGCCACTCACTAGCATCCAAGCACAGGGCTTCACACAACACTGGGGCCATCTTCCTTAAAGAAGCATGGCAGAGACAACATCCTCACCAAGTCTACATGCAGTGCCATTCAAAGGGACCGGAGCAGGCCAGTAAAATGGGCTGACAACAAACTCAGGAAGTTCAACAGCAGGAAATGCAAAATCCTGCATGTGGGGAAGAATCAACTCATGTGCCAGGATGGGCTGGGGGATGAGCACTGGGAAAGCAGCTTGGTGAGAAGGACATGTTGTCCTGGGTCAAAGACCAGTGACACCTGGGACTGCACTGGATTGCTAGCTGTCCCAAGTTGATGCTTCATTCCCTCTCTTTAGCAGTAGTGAGATTACACCTGCAGTCCTGGCTCCAGTTTTGGGCTCCCCATTGTAAGAAAGACATGAGTATACTAAAGTGAGTCTACTGATGGACCACAAATACGATACTGGGAATGGAGCATCTGACAGAAGAGAAGAAACCAGGAAAACTGGAAATATTTAGTTTTGATAAGAGAAGGTTGCTCTCAATATACATAAATATCTCATAAGCAACAGTAAAGAAGACACAGACTCTTACCAGCTGGGTCCCAAGTAAAGATGAAGGGCAATGGACACAAACTGAAATAGAACAAATGACACTTAAACATCAGAAAACCATTTTTCTGTCATGGTTGTCATCTACAATTTTTCCAGGTAGACTGTTGAGTGTCCAGCCTTAGAGATAATTAAAGTCTGACTGGACGTGGCCCTGAGGAACTTGTTCTGTTTGGATTGTACTGTCCTTTGAACAGAAGGTTTGGCACAGATGATATTAAGAGATGCCCTCCATACTCAAGCATTTTATGACTGAATGAGTGCAAAGTGCAGAAGGAGGAAAAGTATGCGTGTGTACTTGTACCTTAGAAGTTATAGCCACAATAGAGTTCAGCTTCTAAGAATTTCAAAAAGACTAAGCAAAGGCATCTGGTGCACCTTATCAGTTATATAGGGCTCCACTAAGTGTCTGGAATTAATGAAGACAGCTAGAACTGAGGTCAGGCTTCTCTGTACATGTAGATTTCCCCAGATGCAAGCAGCTCCAAAACAGATTACAGGATGCTAGAAACTGCAGAAAGGACAGCATTGCTGTGCTGTTCTGAACATATCCAGTCAACTGTGACTGTTTCAGGGTGGGTCAGCAGTCCTGATGGCAACTTCAGCATATTCCACAAAAGTACAGCAGATGAATTTTTTTAGACTTTCCTATCAGGAGTGGGGAAAAAATCTTCATTCAGGATCTTCAGGGAAAGACTTTGAATTATACTGACTGAGGCACTGCATATAAAGCATTTAATAAGAAGTCTTTAAGAAAAACATCTCAAATTTTGCTTTTTTTTTAAGAAACTCAATCATCTGTGTATTTAAGAAACAACATGAAGCAGCTGGCCTGTTTGAGATTTTGCTCCAAGGAATAACAACAAAGAAATATGGAAACCATTCAGCCAGTTACAAAACACAAAAGCAAAATAAAGAGCATGTTGACCAAAGTTCTGATCACGATAAGATACCAACAGAAACAAGTTCCAGGGGCTTGAGAGATTTCAATCCAGAGTTATTCACTGTTCAGGAGAGCAAACAACCTTACCAGTTGACCCAAATGAACCTTAAAATTTCTACACTAGAAAGCTGCTTGATGGAATCTACTTACGTCAGTGATGTGGGTATTACAGGTCACAGCTACCCACGTGATATCAGTTTAAACCATCACTGTACCTGGCAACACTACTAGTTGAGCTTTTAATCTGCAAAAATTCAACCAAGAAAATATGAGAACAATCCACACTACTATGGAGGTACATTATTTGAAAAAATACTAACCATGTAAAGATCTTCAAAGATTTTGTTACAGAAAGTTTTTCATTAATTTGTTAGAAGTGCTTTCAAACAGCATGCCATGTGATATCATTTTTTTCTTAATTTTATGTTAGTGCTGATCAGTCTGCCATCTGGAGTCTAAACAACATTAAAACTTCAACTCTTTGAACACATTCTTTTATTCTCCCTCCTCACACAACAGCTATGAGGCTGCTTGCTCCTCTATACTCAGAGAAAATTTCTTGCTCCAAAGCTACAGTAGGTGCTACAGTGTAGTAATGAAGAACAGAGTGGAACAAAAAAATCCAAAAAACAGTGCAACGTGGACATGAACAGACGAATCACTTCAAACACAGCACGGTATAGCTGAACAGAGATGTAAAGGAATTAGAGAAAAAAAAAACAACCAGTAGATTAATAGAGCATAAGTAATAGTCAAGGTCATGAGTCACACATTTACTAGAAGACAAGAGGCAGGGATTTTTGTATGTACATGGCAATTCTGTTTTTAAAGAGAGTATAAAGAATGGAAGTTGAATGGAAGTTGAATGCTTGAAGAGCCTGAGTAAGGGGAAGATATACTGATGGATCACAGCAATAACAAAAGAGTGCTAGAATAAAACTCAGTACAAAAAAAGAGTGTTAGAAACAGGGAGTTAATGTTGGGTTTCGTATCAAGACATCAGATGGTAGGGAGAAGTCAAGAGGGGAGCATGGTGGTTACACAAACCCAGGCATCAATGGATACTGTATACACATGTACTTAAGCCAAAAAAATACCAGAATGAACAAAGAAAAGACTGGATTTCAGATGTACTATACATAAACACCAGTATTTAGACAATATCAGCCAACATAAGATCAAGGATGACTTCAGGGAAAAAAGCCTGAATCTAAAAGGTCATTAAGTTTCTACTAAGCAAGTGCATTACTGGCAGAATACAGATCCAGCACTGGCATGTGCAGTTCCACCAAGACAAAGTACAGAGAGCTGTCTTTGAAGAGCAGTATGGTACATAGGCAGACCAGTGAGTAAGGTGTGTCCCTGTCCATAAAAGGTGTTTGTTAATACACAACAACACACACAGTGCAGGAATTTAGGCCACAAGAATAGGTCATTTCTGGCACAAAGGCCTGCACAGCTGTATGCAGCTGTGTGAGTTGAGGATCCCATTTCATTACACATATAATGAAGGCATGTGTGCCAACATGAGAGTTCACAGTGTACATATAGCCAAAGCAAACAAGTAAAAGGAGAAGAGAAGCCAGATAACAAAAAGCACAAACAAGATGAGACTGGACAGCAATGCAGATGAAGGGAAGTCAGATATGTTTACAGAATGACTATGCATAAGGCAAAGAACTGTCATAAACAAATACTGCCTAAAATCCCATTTGCTAGTCCTGCTCCAATGTTTGGTTTCTAAATTAGAAAGAAAAAAAGCATAAATTTAAATTCCAAAGATTAATAAAGAAAAGATACGTAGCTGATGAAAGTTCCGGAATGGTAAGAACTTGGTCTCTGTCAAATGGTATTCCAGTGAAAATACATCATGTTTTTGTATTTGTAGAATAATGTGATAGGGTACTGAACTTACAGCCACTCCTGTTAACATACTGCACCTCTCGAGTGACCAAGAGGATGAGTTGAATGTAATAGTAGAGAGTCCAGTTGCACACTAAGATGCACACTAAGATGCATAACAATTTCCAACGACGTCTTCTTGAAATTCCAAATGCATTAATTTATTTTGCATTCCTTAATGCCTCTGCTATACAAAATATCCAAAAGTACAAATATTTCAGCTACAAATGACAGCAATAATCAGTAACATACAATAAATAAAATTGCTTGATCAGTATAGAGTTGCATGCCACTATGCCAAGCAAGGAGAGCTGTTGAAAGAACAGTATATTAAGTCTGAATTCCATGTCATTATTTTGAAAAGGCCTTCTCAAGCCTCCTTCTTAATAGATTCTAAAAAGGATGTTTTCAGGCAGCACACCTTGTTACAACAAAATATAATAAAATTTTAAATAATTTAGCACAGCAAACTGAGAACTCATTAAGAAACAAAATTACTAAAACAGTGCAAATAAAATGAAAACTGCAGATAAAATGAAACCAGGAGAGTGAGGTGACACGAACAAACAAAACAAAATAACATGCATTTTCTTAATGGAAAACTAACTGAAAGAATGGTGTAAAGAAAAATACTTGTTTGAAAAGGTGTATTTATAAGGATGGTATCTGCAATACATAAGGAAGCATTATTTTAGTTCAAAACATGATTACCTGCTGACTTCAGAACTCAAGTAGCACAGAAGATGAATGGCCCAAAGCAAAGGTCCTGCATATGTTGCAAATGCTGTAAGGAAGATTGCTGGTATCTCCACGTAGCTTTCTAGTCCCACAAAGCCTGCTGAAACATCCACAGTAGCAATGCCATTTGAATTTCCCTGAAAATAGGAATAAAATCAAAAGATTCAATTATCTCCAAAGAAACATCTAGGATACATTCAATTAAAAAGGAATTAATTATTACATCAACTATTTGTACCAAGTATTGCATCAACATTTTGAGCCACTTTACAGTACAGTCATATTATTTACAATCTTTACACTGGAATTTCAATACAGAACCTTACCAAACAACAGCTTCAGTTTAAGATTCAACGATTACTTCAGACATGAACAACATCTTCTGCTTGTCTTTTTTTTGGCTGCAAATACATATGCCTAATGTTTAATAAATTATGTTATGAAAATATATTAAAACAAACAGCTACATTATCTGATTTCAGTCACAGTGATGACAATATACATTTTTTACCACTCATGGCTCAAAACCAAGATTTTAGGTTTGTGGCTTAAAATTACACCAGGATATAAGTATTTTTTGCTCCTGGAGACAGCAGGGCTCCTGTTTGGAGCCTGTAGTAGAACAGAAACCTCCCCTTCATCCACAACATAAGTTGCATGTAACTGAATTAAGACTCACAAAGGCAGAGATGTTTCTGATTCCCGACTCTCTGCACCACAAATGCTGGTACTGAAATGGACAAACTGCCTAGACAGCTTAAATCATCAGTAAAAGGCATTTTTAAGAAACATAAAAAAACACACAACATTCACTGTGTAGCTCATCCCAACATCTATGAATTTGTTTGAAGTGATGTAGTACCAGGAGAGTACTGGGAGAAACAGGTAACACCTCATACAACAGCTGAGGTTACAAGGGGTCTCTGGAGGCCATGTACTCCAACCAGACTGCTTCCACAGGGCCACTCAGAGGCCTCACTCAACACCACATCCATGTAACTTCTGAAGATCTCTGAGAGTTTCCACAACCTCTCTGGGCAACCTGTGCTTGTATGCCATCATCTGCACATTTACTAAGTGCTTCCCGATACACAGAGAGAACCTTCTGTGTGCAACTTTGTGCTTGTTGCCTCCTGTTCACTGAAAAAAGCCAGGCTCTTTTCTCTTTCCACCTTCTTCAGGTATTTCTAAATATTGATGAGATGCCTCTGAGCTCTCTCCCACACTCAACAGCTCCAGCTCTCAGTCTCTGCTATACGTGAGATGCTCCAGTCTCTCAGTCACCTTGGTGGTCCTTAGTTAGGACTATCTTCATTAGCTCCACGTCTCTTTTGTACTGAGGAGATCAGAGCTAAACACAGTTGTCCAGATATGGCCTCACCGATGCTGAATAGACATGAAGCATCCCCTCCTTTGATGAGATGGCAATATTTTGGCTAATGTAGCATAGGACAGCATTACCTTCCTTAGCAACACTGATGGTTTATGTACAAGTAGGTGCTCATCAGGACCTCAAGGTCCTCTTCTGCAAAGCTGCTTCCCGTCTGGCTGGCACCCAGCAGGTACTGGTGGTGGACTTCACCTTGTTAATCTTCATAACTTTCAGGAATCCACAGAATCTCATGGGTGGCTGGTCAGCTAGTATTGGAAGAGCTCTGCTGAAACATTTGTTCCTTGTGGCAGATACCTTTCTCCAAGACTAGCTCATATATCTGAATTGCGTTTCTGTAGCTTACAACTTCTAACACTCAGATGACACATAAATAACTGACAATTTAGAGAATCTCTATTTAAAGTACCACTGAAATATTTCAAACAGTAATAAAAAAAAACAATAAAAAAATAAAAAACAGACAATAAGCAATAGCTTATTGTCGTAATGGCAGAAAGTGACAGGAGACAATTCAATTTTGCATAAAAGCATTCCATGGCAGTTCCTAATGATCTAGATCAATGAAGAACAGATATAAAAACACTAGCTTGGGAAAACTAACCAGGGTATCTGCTGTGTAACAGTGAAGAAGGTCTCCATAGACAGTAATAAAAGTAATCAAAAACTCTCCTCAAAGCTGCAATGATTTTTCTGAAAAAAATTCAGTTATATCATTCATCATATAGAAGTGATTAACAGCAGTATCTCAAATGACTCTCACTGAACTGAAAAGTACAGAGGTGAAATACAAAATTGGCATGCTCCTGGCTTGCTTAAACACTGAATTGATACATTGCTGTATTTCCACTGAGCCCTTCCAGTAATTTTATAGTAACTGGAATTCTGTACACAAACAAAATGAGAGAACTTTAATTACCTGAATCAAATAATTTAAGGTGAAAAAATGAGGTAACTGGAGAAGGTTGCCCAGAAAGGTTCTGCAGCCTTTATCTTCAGAAGTTTCAAAATGCGTTCAGACAAAGCACTGAGCAACCTTTTCTGACCTCACAGCTGCCCCTGCTCTGAGGATAGAGTTTGACAAGCCAATTCAAAGTCTCTTAGTCCATCTTTCTACCAAAAGGTAATATCAACAAAAACATACAAGCCTATGCTGTTCTCCTCCAGAAATAAAAAATGAGTATAAACAAGTCTTAGGAGTTTCGAGACTGTACTTCCTTTCCCTTCTACTACAGATACATTTGCTTTAAGGATGCAAAAAAAAAAAACAAAAATAAAGCCAGTAAAGAAACACACCATTTTCTTTTCTTCCTTTATGAGCTCCTGTCCAACACAACTAAAATAGCTTAAGAAATACTTATAGCAACATAAATACTTTTTAAGAGCTGCTACAGCTAAGGAAGATTAACATAATTATTTATATTGTCACCGCATGTTGAAAAACAAGTAGCAACAACAAAGACATACAATACTTTTGGGAAATAAGTGATGAGTTAAAAGATATGAACAACTCAGGGCTTAAAACTAAGCAATCAAATCTAATTCGAACCTGTGGACAAATTCATCACGAGGTTCAGAAACTTGCAATAGTATGACACAGGCAAATAAGTATGGCACTGACAATATACATCAGTTCCAAATCTGTCAATACTGAATTCTTTTTAACTTTGGATTTTTTTTCATTGAGTTACACAAAGTAATGAATAAAGCAATTATCCTAACTACTAAAACAAGACTGAAAGACGAGGTTAAGTCTTAGCCAATTTCACATAAATAAAACAGTATCAATAGAACTAAAGATAGCCCAGTTTGGAAGGGAACTCAAAAGTCTTCAAGTACTACCTTCTGCTGAAAGCAAGTTCAGACACAAAGGACTTCACAGGTTGCTCAAGACGTTATACAGCCAGAATGGGAAAGTCTGTAAAACCCGTGTAAGCAACCTCTGCCCATATTTAGCAGTCATGAAAGTCTTTAGTAAAGGACAACAAAAAGAAGTTAAAAGAAATTTGTGAGTCACATAAGTAGTTTAATAAATTAGCCTTTTTAGGTTCCAATTGTCAGAGATCTGCAAGGGCCAGCTGCTCTGCAAAAGAATGTAAGCTGGGAAACGAGCATGAATACCGGGCTGATGGCAGTGATGGATTCATCAACAAGGAATTGAGAGGCCAAGCACCACGTGTGGATCAGAACTGCATCTGGAGACAGCGATCAGAGTCACAGGCGCTCCAGTGATCACTTAGTAAAATCCACAGTGATGAGGCAGGTGCAAGTGAAGGTTAAGAAAACCAACCAGCAGGTGGTTCGGGTCCAGATCAGGACTGAGATGGTCTGAGACGGGACACGTCACAGGAGCCAGCAGTAAAGTATCAGATTAAAAACAGCTCCCAGAACAAAGGGCAAAGCCACTGCTTCTGCTTTTTCTCACAACAGTTCCTCTTGGTGTAGGAGATGACTTTGAAATCCACTGAAGAATTCCTAGATGAGGGATGCATTTAGGGCCCCACCACAAATAACACGTAGAAAACAAACACAATTATAAAATCAAAGCATATGCATTCCATACTTTTTTTTTTAAACCTCTACTCAAAATTAAAATATTAGCTTACACAAATGGCAACTTAATCTTCTCCCCCCATTCTTGAAATGACTGATTAATAACAGTAATAAAAAAATATCTATTCCTACCAAACTTGCCTTTATGCACACCCAGGATTTCTAATGCTATTGCTTCATAAAGACTTCAAGGATCCTATAAACTTTTCAAAAGAATCCTGCCTCATTCGTTAAATATGCAGCCCTGAATAAAGCTATTTTTACTCACTATGCTATTCAAAAGGCCATCACTTACATTCCACAAATAGTGAGAATGAGTTCCCGCTTTTGTCATTACATATCATTTAGACGAGATTTAATAAAAACTCAGAAACATAGGGAAGAAATCTCATTCTTGTCATAGTCATACTAGTACATACGAAAAAAGTAGTTTTCCAAATCTTTCTGTTGCCAGATGGAAGAATTTTATACTTACTTTATACTTCTCTTCTTCTGCCTCATTTAGCAAGCACAGTTTAAATTTAGTTAACAATCTGATATACATGAAAAACAAGTCAAAGTGTTTATAAATTACTATATGTCAAACATAGATGCATGAATATTTTGGTATGCTACATAAGAAATTAATGCTGGCCTGAAAATAAAACATCCAGTGTGAACGGAATGCAGCCACTTCAATACTGGTAGTCCATGTCGCCACAAAATTTGAGGAAAGAAAGCCAGAAAAGACACTGACATCTGTGCCAGCAATGGATCTCGTGCCCACACAATAAAGATTTGCTTCCCTTCCATCTCTCTCCCACTCTACAACCATGGCTATTGATCAGACCAGAGGTGGTAAACGAATGATTAGCTGTACCAAGGCAGGCTGGTCACAGGTCAATACGGAAGCTGACAATTTGATAGGCTTCTCTTGCAGAAACAGCCCAGCGGTACTTCCTCAATGCTCGTCTTCTTTTTGAGAATAATTCTTCTTCTGGAATACAAGCCTTTTCTAAGTCAGTCATAATCTAAGACCTCACTACTGATGGTCATCACCGTGACACACAGTTACTAATTCTAGGACACCCGCAGTTTGTTCCACAAGAACAGCGTATCTTCACTGGAAACGTAGAAAGGAGGGGATCAAGAAGGTGTCAGCAAGCAACGCTCTTCCCCTGCACAGAATCGTTAAGGTTGGAAAAGACCTCTGAG